TTGGAGCAAGCGGCTCGCTAAACCCCTTTCAGTGAAGACTAAAAACAAAGCCTAGGAGGAGGACCCCATTTTGGTGACGACCACGGCAAACGTTTAAAGGACTACGCTTTGGGGGCATGCACCTGTAATTTCCGCCATCCAAAAAATGCGTCGCCCAATAATGCTCACCCCGGTGGATGAGCGTCTAGCCACAATCCGCATCAAAGCGTTGCTCTTCAACATTTTGCTAATTTGCGCCCCGATGCTCTTTTATGAGACCGTTTTTGAATCAGCAGCTGAGATAGGACGTTCTTTAACCAAAATCTGTGATATGACGTTTTTAAATCAAATTCTGAAGTGGGGCGTTCTTCAATCAAATTCTAAAGTAGGGCATTTTTGAAAAGTTTTCTGCNTTTATTTGGTACTACAACCATTTGTCGGTTTTGGTCGAAACCATACTGGTACTTCTCTTCTGTGCCAACTGACACCAGGTCCTTCTCGTCCTGGTCATTCGATCGCAGAGAAGGACTCTTCCTATGCTATCACCAGCGGCTACCACGTTTAATACTTTCGGGATTGGAGCGTTTGTGTCAATTCGTACAACATGACCAAGCTAGCGGAACCGCTTTACTTTAATTCATTTTACTATGTAGGTTGTAATGCTCATACAGCTCAGCAATCCATCATTTGCGGTCTGCAGTCGTCAACGCGTAAAGGCCCGTAAAACCGCCACAATTTTTTTTCTCGCCAAGGGCCGCCTCATCGAATATTCTCATTGCCGTTGTCCAGAGGACTTACCTTCCTAATTGCCTACCAATTTAAAGATGCACTCTCTGGAAATACAATACCTGTAATTATTTTACCATGCGTATGGAACAAACCTAATGTGGAGATATAAATTTTAACAATCATTCTATCACTTCTGGAGATAAATAGGTTTGTGAAGAGAGCATATCTATCTCGCAAGTAAGGAAAGAGTTTGTACTTCTCTCATCGTAAATTACTACGCTTACTGAAGCCATATAACTCTCGATATCTTTTATACATTTGTTGATTGAATACTTTTACTTAGTGTTTTCGATTAATTCATTCTTTTCGCTTATGCATCCAGCGTACGCCCTTTTTTGACTTTGACCATGAAATGAAGCACCAAAATAAAACAAAAAAGCAAAACACTTGCTAATATCGCACAGTTTGTTCAAAAGACTAAACTAAACAAAATTTTGGCACATTTTTTGCATAAGTCATAGTGTAGAATTTTTATCCGATTATTGCAAATATTTTTTTTCTTTAACATATTCTCTAATTAGGGAACTACGATTATGCCTGCTTTTTTATTAATTGCGTTGAATCTGTACGATTTGCTAGCAGTTATATTTCCGGATCTGATTTTGAGTTGTGCCTCTTTTGAAGAAGGTGTGCGATATGTATTATTCAGCAGCACGGTCACAATGCCATTCACATACATATTTACAACGGAATAAACATACATATACATAGTGACGAACAAAAGTATTGGCATAGTGAATTTTTCGCAATATATGTTAAGTTTTTTATTCTAATTTATTTTCGATAATTTTTTGTAGAAATATAGTTCATGTTGCACAAAAAAAAAAAACATAGATATAAAATCACTAAACTTTGTGCAAAATTCAGGAAAATTCAATAAGTTCGCATACTAATTTGCAACTTATTTTTTAGCAAAAATCCATGTAGCCCGTTCAATTTAAGTGCAAAAAAGGTGCAAATTTGAAGTGGCTAGAAAATCGTGCTGATTTTTGGCAATTTTTTGCACGCAGATTCTTTCATACAAAGTATCATAGAAAGTATGTTCGACAATTATTTTTTGTATGGAGAAAATGAGAAATACCTTTCACTAAAAAATTAAATGAATAGAAAGTTGCAAATTAGTATGCAAATTTATTGAATTTTCCTGAGTTTTGCATAAAGTTTAGTGATTTTATTTTTGAATTTTTTGGTGTAACACGAACACATTATCGAAAATAAATTAGAATAAAAAACTTTGCGTATGTATACTGCGAAAAAATCATTGTGCCAATACTTTTGTTCGTCACTGTACATATGAACACACACATGTATATAAATAAATAAATCTGTGTTCGTATGGAATAGTAGCTTATGTCGAGAAGCTGGCTTTAGTATAATGCGGCATTCCATTTATTCTTTAACCCACAAGGAATTTTTTGATGAGACTTAATAAAAATATTGACTTGATAGTATCGGAACTATTTCTCGCACGTTTACTTGCCAAAAGTTCTTCAACGGCTTGGGGCCGGTGAGTCATTCGCAATCGTATGCTGCAATGCCGCATTTACTAAAGCCAGCTTTCGACATAAGCTACTACATATTCCATACGCACACAGAAATATATATGTTTACGCGCGCGTGTTTTTTGTATTTTTGTTTTTCATCACTCACTTCAATTCAACATTTAGTCCAATTAATTTCGATGTCAGCAGTGCAGCTCTGGAGGGGGGACTGAAAAGCGCATAATATAAAATCGGACGTGCGACATATTTGCTTCTGAGTTTGATAAAATAATTTTCGATTATTGCTGGTGGTGCTGTGGTACAGCTGTGACCAGCCGCCTACGAGCGCGTTACTAAATTCATTGCCAGTGGCAGCTGATTGATAACGCCAATGGTGTCTGTGGACGATCGCACTACGCTCCAAAACAATAGCGTATTTTCACGTAATGTGGGCAAAATGAAAAAAAGAGGAGAGCAATGGCTCTTTACTTAAGAGAACTGCTTATTCGATATATAGTAAATTAAATTTGGAAGGCGTAAGAGTGTGTGTGTGTGTAAGCAGTAGGGGTTTCATGTTAATTAATACTATTGTTATGACAACAAATACATTCATTCATTCCTTTTCATACTAGCTACTAACCCAGAAAGGTAAACCCCTTGTACCACATAAAGAAATTCTTGGCGTTGCGAAGGTCACTAAATAAGTCTTTAGACTAGTAAATAATTACTAAATTTTTGTCGGTAAAAATGGTCTTATTGTACCTTCACTCTTGCACAGAGTTGGGCAAAATTTATTCGAATGTCAAATAAATAAATAATTGTTTGTAAATAACACAGTGCACAACATTTTTGGGGCGGATTTCAACTCAGGATAAAAGACCTATAAGACGGAAAATTTCACAGGGGGTATTCTCAGACAAGATCTTTAAATAAAGAACATGAAAGTCCACAGAATATATATATATATAAAAAACCAATATGTCCGCTTGAAATATGCAATAATTTTTTTAAGCTATATTTTAATAGCATTTACTTTGTATATGAACATAGCTACTACCTTTTTTACCTTCCTTTTATTAACTCAGGATGTAACTATGTAATATTGATGCGCCTAAAAGATGCAGCGATTTATATTCCCAAGTTACATACCTGATGACAGTACGAATGGCAATTATAATATGGAGGTTTTAGATTTAAACTATAATTTTATTTCGTGTACACCCCTAGTCAACAATATACCCCAATATACAATTATTTGTTTAAGTACTTTACCATTAAAGAAGTAATACAAGGCTTTTTGAAGAAACATTTTTCTAGCAACTACGATGTTTTTGTTTCAAAATTGATTTAACTATTTGAAAAAAGTGGCGTCCATATGTCCTTGAAAATGTACAACTTGCATCATCATTTGGTAGTTATCCACCGAATCCAATGAGCAGGACGAGCGCTATGATTAAGTTCCTATACCATTTGAAAAGAGGTAATAAGTACTTGTATTACTTGTATGGTGGTGAAGTGGTGAGTAATACGTGCTTCCACTCCGCAGGTCCTGTAAAACTGTAGGTCCCTCCGCTTTGTGTGACAACATCAAGACGCCCGCCACAAATCGGAGGAGAAGTGTTTGGCCGAACACTAACATATCTGTAAGCGCCAATCTATTATTATTATTATTATTATTTAAAAAAAAATTTACAGATACGGAGAAATTATTGCAGAAAATTGCTGGTGGAGCAAGCATATGTTCTACGATCCTGATTACTACGAAATGTATAACGCTCTCTCGACACAGGGAAACAATTAATAAGTATGCATTTAGTAAAGCGTACTGTGACGATACCGTTCAAAATAGAACATTCATTTTTTCACCCAGTGATGCACAATTATATCTACTTTTTTCCGATACCAACCGCTACGAAATCCGAGTCGAATACCCCACCGTTCGCCGCAAAAGATGCTATACTTCAAAAACTGCCTATATTTTACCCAAAATTTAATAGCAAGCAAGAGAGATGGCAAAAGTATGTAATTATTGAAACCACTTCATCTTTTAAATACTTAGTTCAAGCAATCAACCGAAAGTCAATAAAATTTTAACTCGTTTAACTAGTGAATATACATATGTGTATTAGGCTGGGTCGATTTTGTATGGGGGAAAATAAAAGTCATTTGACCGCATTGTAATAGTAATATTATGATGTCTTAGGTCTAAGCCAATTGTTATTGGCCACGAAAGATTGATTTAAAACTTATCTTTAGCCCGCGCAATTGAATCATAGTGTATGAATTTCGAAAATGAAACCTTGTCTTGTAATATCTATGGAACGCGTTATTGTTATAAACAGGACGATATATCAAATTAAGAGTTATTAAATTTAGTAACTCATGTTCATTTATCATATTTCAATAAGTCTACAAGTTTTTAAGATATTAAGATAAAACTTACAAAAACTATAATTTTCCTCCATGAATTTTCAATTCTACATTACTTCAGCAACCAATTTGTTTCAACCGTTTTAATGTTTTCGGATGTTTATATAAGTAATATTAAAATAACCATGGACTTGATCACGCCGATTTGGTCAATTTTCAAGATCGTGGTGAATGAATGTATTGTGAAAGATTAGGAATCGTTTAACAAGTTAATAGTACTTTCAAGCATATAAGTATATACATACATTAACATAATACAATTAGGATGAGAAACGCCCATTTTAAGTCTATTTATGCAGTATTGAAAATTAGTGCGGAATGGTTTCATTAGTCACCGGAGAAGCACATTTTTCGCGGTTNCAGAATTTTTAACAAGAATTGGTCTTATTCGACTAGTCCGCTGTGGGCCACTTGGCGGTCGATGCGCGGGCTCTCACAATTAAAATAAAATACTAATATTTTGCAGGCTTGTTGTTGGTTTCATGATACAATATATTTTCACTATTACCAAGGGATTTGAGAAGAATTAGATTTTCGACCCGCCCTAATGTGTATATTTTTTATGTTTGGAATCATAAATAACGTAATTCCAACAGTGGTTTACAAACTGTTACCGCAAAGAAATCGAGAGATTTTCACTTTTCACTCACTTTGTTTGTCGTTTTATTTAAGCTGTTTTATTTTTGTGTACCATAATAGCAGCATTAAGGGAGGAAGCAGCTGTTTTCTATTTATTGCTGCTGCTAAATAGTATACAAGAATAAGCGGTACAAATCAAGACAAATAAATATTTTCATATTGGCGAATCTAGAAAGTGTTTCAGTACATAAAAAACTTCAAAAAAGAAAAGTGCGTAATGTCCAAACCGATTTTGTATTATGCGCTATTTAGCCCACCGGCACGGGCTTGTATGTTAACAGCCGAATTAATTGGACTTGAATTGGATTTGAAGTAAGTTTTCATAAAGAAGAGAAAAATGCGGATGCTTATGAAAGCTATGCAGTACGCATAAACACATACATACGTAGATATGTATGTATGTATGTGTTTGTTTGCATATAAAAATTTCATGATTACGTATACGTACACTAATAATTTTCATTTAAAAGATTTGTGGATTTTGCCGCAAAACAACATCTTACGCCAGATTTTCTATTGGTGAGTTTTAAAAATACTTTAATAAAGGCTTTATTATTTTATATGGAATGCTTCCAGCTAAATCCTCAGCATCAAATACCTGTTTTTGTGGATGATGACAAGGAGGTGTTTATTGACAGGTAAGATATATGTACATATGTACTTATGTATGCATGTATGTACATGTGTATAAATATAAATATAAATACATATGCTTGCATACATACATACATATCGTTATCTTAATTCACAAAGGCCCTAACCAACATTTTTTTTTTAAACTGCGTTTTTCACAGATTTAGGTAAGAGGTATTAAAGTACACCTTCAATTAAAACTTCAAAGTGTTAGTACCAAAAAAAAAAATAAAGTTACATGCCACTTTTAAAAAAGTCCTACCTGTTTATAAACTCTTTTTAAATTTTTTTTGCTTTTCCTGTAAAATAAAAAAAGGTTCGTTAGCGCCTTCGTGCATTAAGATAACGATATACATACTATGTACATACGCGATTCGGCACTTTTTCCCCAAAAAAGAAATTTTCTTGTTTTTTACTTTTTCTTTTTTTCTTTTTATGTACTTATGCACACATGTACGACAGCCATGCGATTATGGCATACATGGTATCAAAATATGGAAAGAACGATAACTTATATCCTAAGGATTTGAAGAAACGTGCACGCGTCGATCATATGCTGCATTTCGAAAATGGAGTACTGTTTCAAGTAATCAAAGATATGGTGGTAAGTAGTAGAGATGGGCAAAACATGTGATTTTCTACGCGACCGTGACTTGCGTGATCGTGAGTGACGGAAATTTTTGCTGGCGTGAGTAATGTGAGTCAATCACGTAATATTCACATATCGAGGCCTAACCGCCAAAAAGTTGTAGGCAAGCGAAATTTTCTTGAAAATTTTCTTATTGATACAAAAAATGTTCCTGGGAGAAAGCTAAAGACTTTCCTTTTTAACCGACTTCGCAAAAAGGAGAAGGTTATCAATTCGTCGGAATATTTTTTTTTTTAATGTATGTTACCGCATAACTTCTGGACCACGTTAACCGATTTCTATAATTTTAATTTTTTTTTATTAAAGGAAAGCTGTTACCTCACAGGTGGCCCCATACTAATTTATTCTAAATCCGATCATTGGATCATGAAGAAATTAGCGATAATCTTAAATTTTTGTATGAGAATTGAAGTCGGTTTTTGTTTTTTGCCTAAAAATTACTTATCTTAGAAGCCTTTCAAAGAAAAATTTTAAACATACCAGCTAGTTCAGCAACTATTGAAAGAGCCTTTTCTGTGTCAGGCAGAATTTTAGAAGAAGGGCGCACGCAAGTCGAATTTAATAAGGTGGTGTTAGCCGCGCGTCAACGTGATTTAAAAAATACAACAGAACGTGAGTGTGCGTGATTTACAAAATCATCAACGTGAGTGTGCGTGAAAGTGAGCCAAAATCACTCACGCGCTCATTTCTAGTAAGTAGTACATCAAAAATAAAGCACGTATACGCAATGGCGTACCTTAAAGCTACTTTGGCCATACATTGGATGTTTTTTTTTGGAGTGATAAGCGACTGATGAAAAGAGCTGAAACAAAAAAAAAAACGTTTTATCACCTAAAAAACATGCGAGTAGTGTTTTCATCAGTTGCTGGTGTTTAACCACAGCCTATAATGGTTCGTAATCGGCCTTATAGCGAGGGTTGAATATTTTAAAAAAGCGGGTGGCAACCCTACTAAAAGGTTTTTATTTTTTACCTCAACCGGTGAAGCTGTCCTACAAAATGGTGTTTTAATCATTCAATTAGATGGAGTATTAAAGGAGATGTGGTGCTTCATTGTCCGGATAAAATGCTTTCAGCTTTTTAAAACTCATTTTTTTTTTTTAATAAATAACTAAATTTGAACAATGTGACTATTTTTCGCATGTATGTGAGCTCCTCCCCTTCAATATGACATATTAAAGGAGAGGAGATATCGTTTGGTAACAGAAAAATACCTTTTAGAAATAAGTATTTAGATTTTTTTAAATACTTTTACGTATATATAATCGTTGTCGTTTCGAAAAAAACGCCGTAATACGATCTCATTAAATTAAATAACACATTATTTAAATTTGCAGCGACGTAACATTTACGGTGGCGAAGGCGAATTCAACAAAATAACATTGGATCTGTGCGACAATGCATACAGTTTCCTCGAAGCTTTCATTGACAAAAGCAACTTCTTTGGAAACAGTCCAACACTTACCATTGCCGATGTATGCATCAACACCACTCTAGTAACACTCGATATGCTTATACCAGTCAATAATAACAGGTGAGTAGATATCTAAAAGTAAAACTACTATGAATAAATGAGTATATGCATTGATTACACCGTGCGCCAGTAAATTTTACACACACAAAAATTAATATATTCGCGAAAATATGGGCAAAATAAAGTAGAACTGCGTTTTTATTTTTCACTCTGACATCAGGACTTTTTTTTTAAATTTCAAAAAATTATCAATTTAGAAAAATTATTATAAAAATTTCAGTGCTATGTAGAATAACATTGTGGGTATCAAATAAAAGATAAAATCCTGTAGAATTAAAAAATACTTTTTTTTTTGGTGCATAATGACGAATGGGTATGTAAAATTTCCTTTTTAAATTTTATCCTTGATAATTTTTGAAAATTTTCAATATTTATTTTTGAAAATATTATATATTAGGGACTAATATACACACGACCACATCCTCGAATTTCGTACTAGTAATTTTATTAACTTAAAAAAATAAAATTAATTAAGAGCGCATTTTAAATACTTATTCGTCATTGTAAACCAAAAAACTTTAACGTTTTTCAATTGTACCCATCTCTTTCATTTTGTACCCATATTATTATTGTATATTCCACTGATTTTTATACCCGAGCGCACTTGTGCACAAGGGTATATTAATTTTGTTCACATAACGGTTGTTTGTAACAGCCAAAACGAATCGAGATAGATATAGACAAATGTATACATATATGCTCAGAATGAATCGAGAAATCGATTAAGCCATGTCTGTCTGTCCGTCCGTCTGTCCGTCTGTCCGTCCGTCCGTGTACACGATAACTCGAGCAAAAATTGAGATATCTCAACGAAATTTGGTATGTA